ACTTGATCATCTGAAACCACATCTACTTTAAAACAGAAGTATGAGGAAGGGAGAATAGCTTTTAATTAGCAACCTAATTCTCAGAAAATGTTTTTTTTTTTTGTCCAGATGTTAGCAGGGTCAGATAAAGGTACAGTAGTCTGGATTATTTAAAAAATAATTTAAAGCTAAATATGACATAAGTGCAGTAGACCAGGTCTAGACGTATCTGGAACTTGGGGAGGGGCACCTACCCAAGTACTTTTGTTTACACATGGGAGATTTAGGCGTGGGTGGAACAGAGTACAAAAATAAGCAAGGCCATTTTGATGAACCAATCCAAGCTCAACCTTTAATTCTAGATCACATTTGTCTCTACACTGGATCCTGGCAAGCTTGTGTCATGACAATCTTTGGTACCAAATAAAGAGTATCCTTAAACTCAGAACTAGAAAGAAAAGGAGAAAACCAAAATTTAATTTTAAAGGACTTCTGGGTGACAGAGCACGCAGCTCACATTTTAATCGTTAGTGCTCATAAAACTTAGAGTAAATGTACAAAGAACATGAAAATTTACTTGACAAAATAAAAACACAAAAAAGGCCTTGCTCATTATCTCTAACAGGATTAATAAAAAGGTTTAAAGAGCTAAACTGCCCAGGTGACCTATACCATGGTAACTTAAATCTATATAGTAATTAAAAAGAAAACAAGTCAGTCATTCTTCTGTCATTTTAAGTTTCTCTCTTCCATTCGACTAGTTGGTACATACATTCAAGGGCTATGATTGATATATGTTTTGTTTAATCTGCAACTCTAGAAGCTAAAGTTACCTAAAGTGTAGATTTAAATATTTAGACAATGAGAGACACATACCCAAACAGACAATCCCTATCATGAAGTAAGTAGCAGGCAACCAAGATTAAGGACTAAACTTCATGTGTATAAATTTAAAATAAGCTAATATCAGATGGGAATGAGTGCTTAAAATTTCATTTTCTTTTGTATTATAACTCTATCCATTTCATAGTTGAATTCTCCTACTCATTTATAGTGTTTGATATATTTTGTCTAGTATACATGGAAAAATTTGAGTAAGCTGATACCATATGCTCAATGACACTCATGCATTGATATTAGTTATGCAGACGCTTCCTCTTAACATAAAAAAACACTTCTTTAAGTGAGAAGTGGAATTTAATACATTTTCATTGAACAACTATTTGTAGGCCCATTCAATACAACCTACTATTTCACATTTATGTCCTGATTTACAGAGCATGCTAAATTTCTCTTTGTACTTATTTGACCCGGTTAACTTCTGCGGTTTTCAATGCATTTGGGGGGTGGGGGGGCGGGAAAGCACAAAGGAAAAGGAAGGGAAATGATCCTTGCATTTGTGTTACAATAGAAGTGACTAGTTAGAAGTAAAAAGCTTAAGCTTCTGAAAACTATTTTTGTAAGTATTAATTAGAACAGAAAAAGACCTCACTGGAATAACATCAATGTGCAAGTACAATAATTTATACAAGATGTCTATTTTAAAATGTAACAGGAGGAAACCAGTTTACACTTATCCTGACAAATTCTCATATTTTTTAATTAATCATCTTGAAAGAATTATTATGGTGGCAATGTGTGTGAATTCAAAATACATCACATGCTAAATCTTAATAAAATCATTAACACAGCCATAATTGATCAACTGGCATCTATGATCTGCTAGTACTAGCATTTACTATTTTTTTTTTCCCCCATATAACTGACTTGGTGCTGGGTCAGTACAAGTTTCAGGTTTATCAACAAATCTGAAGTATTTTGGTTACTTATTTACTCTAATGTACTATATATAATCTAATTTGACTACACTTAATATTCCTAGTATTCCAGGAACTGAGGAAGTAAAAGCAAGAAATAATATTTAAGTCAGTGGTAACATCTAAGCACATGCAAAATTCTCTCCCTCTCTCTCCAGTAAGCAGGAGAGGGAACTATGGCAGCATGTCACAAATTTAAGGAGACAATAATGCTGTACCAAACAGTAAAAACATATACTGAGTGCCCATCTTATCAGTTTAATTTAAATCTCACCTCAAGCCTTGGGACAGATCCACCCCACAGGGCTCTTCACGGGTGAGATCTGGCCTGGTACAACGGGCACCTGAGGCAGGGCCAACCTAGGGCATGGGACAGCTGTGGGAGCGATGGCAAGGCTGGCAGTAAAAGCAGTAGAGTAAGTGGCTATTTGCCACAGTGGTGGCAATGGAGAAGCAGCAACAGGGCATGTGGAGCTGTGTCAGTCCCTCCTGCTGCTGAGGGCTATGCCCACTGGAGCCCAAGACAGCCAAATTCTGGGGGAGGCCACACCCTCAATTTCACTAGCCCATTTCCCTAGCCCAGTAGGCCAGATGAAGCACCTCTGCAAAACAAAGCTGGGAGGCCATGCTAAAACCAAAATTGTCAAAAGTATGCTCTTATTGACTTCGGCTGTATACACACATTCAAATATTCTGGAAGTATTATCCAATGTGTGTTCTCTAGGTAGGGAAATGTATCCAGAGCCACTGTGTATAGACATTGAAAGCTGACTCCTTGAAGAGTGTAGAGCTTGCAGTGCTGACACTGTGCAGCCAGAAAGAGGAGGGGAAAACTATGGAGACTTCTCTTGAGAGAAGCCACAGCATGTAGACATTCACTGTCCCAGAAGAAACTCTCCTGGGAATGATTTAAACCTGGCTGTTTCCAGATTATTTTCTCCTGCAGTGGCCATTTTTATTCTGGGAGAAAGCAAGCCTGACCATCTCCACACTCACGGTTTCTCCTAGGAGACCAACAACTCTTCCTGAAGAAACTAAATGTCTATACAAGGCCTAAGTGGAAGTTGATTTAGAGTAGGGGTGTCAATGTGTAGGCTGCAGATATAGAATTCAGTGGTGGGTCATCTGGCCTACCATCTTCTTCAAGGACCAGAATGAAGGAGCAGCTGTAATTTTAGGAGTTCCCAGCTCATGTGGTTCCAGTCCCCTTGTCAACCTCACGGTACTACAGTGAAAAGGTTTCAGTGCCCTGCCTATTGCACCACTGTGAAATTTACCACCCCCGCTTTGCCAGTGGCCCCAAGAATCAGCAGTGCTCACTGACAGAAGTAAGCAGCAGTAGCTGTACCAATAATTCCTCCTACAGCAACATGTGCCTGAGCAGGGAACATAAATCCATATTAACCCCCTGGTTGCTGGCCATGCTGCCACCTTTGGCTGTGATGGCAGGGGCTTCTCAATGAATGCCAACAAGACTGGCAGCCCAAGGAGCACTGCAGAAAGGAACACAAGCACCTACAAAACAGGAAATTCGCCCATTAGAATTTAATTAGAGGGAACCATAATACTTTCTTTTAAAAAAAAGAAAGTTAATTAAGGTCCCAAATCCTTAAGAAACTACATGTGTATAGGATGTAAGAATTAGAAAAGCCCTTTATTCATACCCAAAATTAAAATAGCACTATACTAATCCTTAAGTCTGTTTGGAATCTTAGTAAACTATTTTAAGGACATTTCATTCACCTCTAGATAAAGCTGGTCCTATTCTCCCATACATTGCTCACTGCCCAATTTTTTTTGCACAACAGACCAGACCAGTACTGTGCCTAGTGTAGAAAGGTAATCCCCTCTCTTAACTGGCTACAGTAGAAGTGTTAATGGGCTTTTTTTCCCCAAACCTTTAAAGCAAGAATTTTGAAACAAACAAGTAGCACTTAAAACGTCAAAAATTGATTATTCTATTTTGATTATTCACAAAGAAACTTTATTTCCTATGAACAGTCCCTTATCATTTATAAAGAGTGAAAGGATTTTAAAAAGCAAAACAGACATTAGTAAGCAAACATTTCACTTAATGCAATATCCTCAAAATGTGCACAGTGAAACAGCCACTTATCATACTAATTTAATGCCAGCTATAAATCTGGGGCAGTTTTAGAAATGTACTGGTTTAGGTTAAAGAGCCTCATCTGCATGGACACACACAGAATGACCCCAGCAGCAAACTTTAAAATAAAATTACTATAATAAAAAAACCTGCATGAAGATACAGCCCCAAAAAAACACAAGAAAATTTCAAAGCATCATTGCTCTAATGGAGGATATAATACCAGTGTCAGCTAGCTTTTAACAAAAGCTGATGAGTTTCAGATGGGGCCTGTGATCACCCATACCAACAATGCAGCAGCCAATGAATTAATGGAACCATTGTGATGAAAAGCAACATGCCAACCATATAATATTTGCATTAAACAGGGAACTGTTTCTGAGGGAGTATAAAGAAGGAAATGGGACAAATAGGGAGAAAGAATGTAATCTTCAGCCTTAGTAAACTTTTGATAAGCTTCCCTGAAATTAGAGCAAGCTACTGTTTGCAACCCAAAGAACACCTTACTCTGTGTTTTTTCCCCAGATGAGTCTCAAAATGGTAGTGTAAAGAAGATTTTTTCCCTGGCAACCAGCTTTTTCTTATCAACTATCAGAATTCAAGTTAAACCACAATGACAAAGAACACGTTCTGAAAAATTTACTATATTTCCTGAAAAACAAGATAGAGAGAAGCATTCAAGTGCCACTATACTTTCAGACTGAACTTTTGCATACCTAATTTGTAAAACATTTTATTAATAATCTTACAGAATAGTAATATGCGACAGTTTTAATGCAAAGCTGCTTGCCCCCACTTCCACTTCTGAGCACATCTCTTTCCTACATTATGACCAGAAAAGAGGGTTCCACAACATGGAAAAAGCATTCCTTTTATTTTAAAGTACCGCATTAATCTTCTAAAAAATACTAGGAACCTCGCGTATTTTAGAAGTGTAGTTAGAAGAATAAGTGTCTGGGAGAATCATGTCTAGCCAGGTAGGTCTGTACCTGCTAGACAATCAATTCTTTGTCTGTGAGCTTGAAATGAGATAGAGAAAGAGCCTTAATATCTGTGTCACATTAAAATAAATATGACAACTACTGTATCCACTGTACCTCATTCTGAAGTTCATCACCACTCTTGCTGGATGCAAGCATCTCATACAACGTGCAGCAGAGATCTTCTATTGTTGGTCCTCCAGGGGTTCCCTTTAGGGACTCATTTAGATACTTTCCAACCTCGCACCACAGAAAAGAGTCATCCACTCTCTCTGTTGACTTAAGATCATTTTTGTCACTATAACAAGTCTGGAGGTGCTCCAAATGGTTATTCAGAAATTTCTTGTAATCTAAGCTTATAATTTTCTGTGCATCAACCTCACCGTTTATTGGCAGTTCTTCACAGCAATCCAAATCATGCATGTCAAATGAAAACACTACATTTTTACCAAAGAATACTCTGTTATCACCATTTTGTTCTTCAACCATCTGTATAAGGGCCGTAAGCTGTTCTTCAGTGAAGTGAGAAGCAATCCGACATGTGGCATTACAAGCTGCAGTAGCAGATGATGATGGAAAGGGCCCAAACATCTGCTTGATAGCTTTTGTCTCATCATGACCAACGCATTCCTTCATGTGAAATGTCTTAAAAAGAAAAACAGCTCCACTTTCAATTGCTTCTTGTACATTTTCAGCTCCAACTGTTCACAAAAAAATAAAAGAAAATGTAAAGTACTTAAAAACCAAGATAATTCTCTTTCATTGCTTATAACATAACTGTACTCAATTTCTTGCTGCAAGTCACATGAGCAGTCAGAATAACATGAAACTAAAAACGTAAGTGTAAGCTGCTGGAAGGCACTGAAGTTATAAAAAGGCACAAAAATAAAGCATCTAGCAATGACTTTTCAGTTATCCTTCTTTAAAAAAAAAAAAATCAAGTCTATCTCCTTGCTATCTTCTTCTTGCCTTCCCCCCGCCCCCCCACCAAAAAAACCTTTTTAAATATATATTTGGACAACTTTGATTTCTTTGCACAAACTAGTAATTTTTTTCCAAATAATAACAAAAAGGTGTTAAGGATGTTCAGTAAATAGAATGATCTAATTGACTGAAACATACAATAAAAATAAAGCAAACTGCAATTCTTCTCTACTCCCATGTCCCATTTATTTCATAGATTTTATAGATTTCATAGACATTAAGGATGGAAGGGACCTCGAAAGATCATCGAGTCCAGACCCCTACCCCAGGGGCAGGAAGTCAGCTGAGGTCACAGGATCCCAGCAACAAAAAAAATCCAGTTTAGGCGTTCAAAGTAGGTGCTTGAACCACCTCTGGCAGCAGGCCATTCCAGACCTTGGGGGCTCGGACAGTAAAGAAGTTCTTCCTTATGTCCAGCCTGAAACGGTCTTGCAGGAGTTTATAACTGTTCAACCTTGTAATCCCTTGGGGCACTCTGGTGAACAAACATTCCCCCAGGTCCTGGTGAACACCCCTTATAAACTTATAGGTGGCCATCAGGTTGCCCATCCCTGAGCCTGTGCTTTTCCAGACTGAAAAGTCCCACAGCTCTCACTCAGCCTCTTGTCATAAGGTCTGTTTTCCTGACCTTGATCATGCGTGTGGATCTCCTCTGGACTCTCTCAAGCTTCTCCACATCCTTTTTGAATTGTGGAGTCCAAAATTGGATGCAGCACTCCAGCTCCAGCCTCACCGAGGCCGAGTACAATGGGAAAATGACGTCCTAGGATTTGCTTGAGAAGCATCTAGGGATGCAAGCCAGTGTTTTGCTTGCTTTACTGGCTGCAGCATCACATTGCAGGCTCATGTTCATCTTCAGGTCAATCCTGACCCCCAAGTCCCTCTCGTCCATAGTGCTAGTCAGCGTAGCACTGCCGAGCCTATAGACGTGCCACAGGTTTTTCCACCCAAAGTGAAGAACCTTGCATTTTTCAGTGTTAAACACCATGAGGTTCTCATCCGCCCATTTACTGAGCCTGTCAAGGTCAGCCTGGATTACCCCTGTCCTCAGGTGTGGATGCTTTACCCCAAAGTTTGGTATCATTGACGAACTTGGCCAGTCTGCTTCTGACTCCAATGCCCGTATCATTAATGAAGAGGTTGAACAATATAGGTCCAAGGACAGAGCCTTGAGGGACCCCACTGGTCACAGGGCACTATGACAACTGACTTCCCTCAACCACCATCCTCTGGGTCCTGCCACTTCCCCAGCCAGCGGATCATGGTGGACCCAAGGCCGCAGTTGGCCAGTTTTGCCAAGAGGTGATCACGGGAGACCAGATCAAAGGCTTTGTTGAAGCTGAGATATATGACATCAATCTCTTCCCCCTTGTCCAGGTGATGGGTCACCTGGTCGTAAAAGGAAATGAGATTGGTCAAGCATGACCTACCCACAACAAACCTGTACTAGCTGTCCCTCAGGGTGTTGCCATTGGCCAGTCCATTAAGAATGGCCTCCTTGATTTTTTTCTAAGACCCTCCCTGGGATAGAGGTCAGGCTGATGGGCCTGTAGTTTGCCAGATTCACTTTCCTCCGTTTCTTGAAGATAGGCACCACACTGGCCTTCTTCCAATCATCAGGCACTTCACCAGAGCACCAGGAGCTCTCGAAGATCCATGCCAGGGGCTGAGCTATGATACTAGCCAGCTCCTTGAGTACTCTGGGGTGTAAATTGTCAGGGCCGGCTGACTTGAAGGTGCCCAGCCTCTCAAACTGTTCCTTGACAAGGTCAGCATTGATGGAGGGCAAGGAACCACCCTCACTTAGGCGTCCCTGTCCCGTAATGGGCAGGGGCGTCCCATGGGACCTGTGAAAGACTGACACAAAGTACCCATTTAGCAAGTTAAACCAGAAACTTACTGCATACTGTAAAATTACACCCATATAATGGTTTAGTACTCCTAAAACTAGAACTGAGCTTCATCAATGAGCAAAAATGTCTGCAAATCTGTATTAATGATGACTCAGTTAAATAATAATCTTACCTCTTCTATTTAGAAACCAATGTCAAGAAAGGAAAGGAAAAGCTCTTAGGGAACCTAATTCTGAGAGAAGTTTCTAAACTTTAAATCATTGGTTGGTTTGGTTTGATTTCTATAAACCATACATTTGTGTTTGGTTTTATACTTCCTTAAATATAAATAGTACAAATCTTGACAAATCACACTGTTTACCACTTACTTTATGTTTATGTTAACTGTTAGGTAAAAGTACAAAACCTACACCTTTTCTGTAGTGACTTAAATTAGGTTATTTGATACTGATATCAAATGTAACAGGACTAACAATGCATCTAATTACATAATTTTCAATGTGTGTGCTCAATGCAGAATTATCCCCTGGGTTTGTTTTTTTTGTTTTGTTTTGTTTTTTTTAAGTGTTTTGTTACTAGACATGGCCCTGGTACAAATTCAGTGCCAAAATTCCACACCTCAGCAAATAATGCCACTCATGCTTTGTGCACATCACATTCATTAAAGTCACCAAGAACATCCAGGTTGATTTATACCTCTGAACATTTGCAAGGGTTGTTTTTCTATTCACAAGCTAGAGAGCAATTATTTCTTTCAAGCCCAATTGTGTACCACAGAACAAGTAATCGTTACTCATAGTACAAAATAGAAACATATGAATAGAACTACCTTTGAATGAATATAAAAGGTACAAAGAAATGTCATAACTTTTAGTCAGCAAAACTGAAGAAGTTGGTACCGAGTTTAAAACCACAATAGCAAACCAGTCTGAATTTCTGTTCATATCCTGTGTAAACAAGATCTTTCCTCTTGCTCCTTATCAAACACTGGAAGTTGAATTTATCTTGACAGTATCAATATAGTAAGTTTATATGTATCCTTTGAAACTAAACAAGTTTCAGGTAAATTCCAAATTCCCAGACATAGTAAAAAGGAAAAAAAACCCATTTCTTTAGAAAATGCTTCACTGTCAAGATGAATGATGGTGAAGGCTTGTTATACTTTCTACATCACCATTTCTTCAGAAGAAATCTGAAAGAAACAGGGCTGTAAACCCAGAATTTATAATTTATGATGCAGATTATAAGAAGAAAGCAATTATAAAGTGAATTCACGTTCTGAACAAGAATGTAATGCTTAGTTTTCAAAGGAGCTAAAGAACCTTCAGGTCAGTGGTACTGACCACCAATGCAGAGAAAGGAGAAGAACCCCCCTTCCACGCGCGCGCGCACACAAAGTACATGTTTAAAGAAGGCAAAACCAAAGTCACAAATATTTATGTTATGAGTATATTTTTTTTAAAAGTGATATGATTCAATTAATAAGACATATTATTCTTGTACAGTAAAAATTAGGGATCATTATATTCCAGGTTTATGGTTAATTTACAATTGTAAGTCTACATAAAACTGAATTATAGGGCTCCAATTTCATCTAGTAAACGAAACTCTTTGGTCATGGCAAAGGAGAAAAAGGTGCAACATATTCTCTGTCATAAGCACGATCCTGGTTTCCCTAGTTTATAAATCCCAAATTCTCTGATAAAAAAACAAAATTCTCCGATTAAAACCCCCCAAATCCAGGTTTTTCTGTGATTGAAAGGAAACGCCACTATATATATATATATATATATATATATCAGTTGAACAAAACGTTTTACTGATATATTTACAATTATAAAGCAATTTGGAAGCCTACCAGTGCCTCAATCTTTATAATAAAATACATTCTAAAGACCTGTATATTTTTGCATTTGAAAAAAATCAGAGCTCCTCCTGTCCCATTTGCTCACCAGGACTCGGGTCCAGCTGCAGCTGTCCCCCACCTTACACTGCTTTGTGGCTCCGAGTAGCCCTGATATGCCTGTGTCCTACCCCTGTTCATGCCATTGTCTCTCACTCCCAAGCCACAGCCCCCACCAGTCCTGCTGGTGCCCCTCACTCTCAACAGGAAGCCCCCTGGCCCTGCTGGTTCCCCTCACTCCCAAGCCACAGCCCCCTGGCCCAGCAAGTGGCCCTCACTCCAAACCCATAGCCCCTTGGCCCTGCCGGTGCCCCTCACTCCCAAACCACAACCCCCTCAGCCCTGTTGGTGCCCCTCATTCCCAACAGGAAGTCTCCTGGCCCTGCTGGTGCCCCTCAATCCCAAGCCACAGCCCCATAGTTCTGCAAGTGGTCCTCACTCCAAACCCACAGCTCCCTGATCCTGCCAGTGCTCCTCACTCCCAAACTACAGCCCCTTGGCCCTGCCAGTACCGCTCACTCCCAACCTACAGCCTCCTCAGCCCTACTGGTGCCCCATACTCCCAACCTGCTGCCCCCTGTCCCCAAGCAGTGCATGAGGGAAATGGGGCAGGGGGGCACATGCCCCCTCCCCCGAGATTTCTGCGCCTGTAACAGTCTGCAGGACCGCAGCCAAGCCAGACCAGCACTAGGCAGAAGCTGCTTCCATGGCCCAGCGGACAGGACCCAGAGCATGGGGTAGCACTGTGCCACCATGGCTGCCAAGGTGAGGCAGCACAGAGTTTTACCCCTGCTGCTGCTGAGCAGCAGCCTGCCAGGCAGCAGCCTGCCTCACCTTGGTGGCAATGGCAGTGCAGCGCTTCCATGCCTGGTCCCACACATTGGGCTGTGGAGGCGGATCCTGCCCAGAGCTGGTCCAGCTCAGCTGTAGCCTCGCACCCCACTGTGGATGCAGAAGTCTC